ATTATGTTCTTCATATAAAATGATGCAACATATCTACATAATCTATGCATATGCCTGGTGTGTTAAATTTTAAATCACCTCTAGATTACTTAGAGTGCCTAATGTAATATAAATACTATGCAAATAGTCTTTATTCTGTTTGGGGAATAATGACAAAAAAAGGTGGCACATGACCAGTACAGATACACTTTTTCCCACAAGCGTTTTCAGTATCAGTTTTGGTGAATCCACAAATGCACAATCAGAGAATAAAGTGGCCAACTGTATTCTCTACTTATTCTGAGACCGTGTTAGAAAAGTCAAATCTGACACCAAAAACAATAAGTTCAAAACCAATCTAAAGTACAGTGTAGTCTTCCCCTCACAGGTTGTAGAGTCTGAAAATACAGATCTTCATTCTGTAAATATTTGCTGAAGTCCTACTGTGTGGCATGCACTCTTCTAGGGACAAGGTTTACTCTATTGGCAAGATAGAAGAGGGCCTTGTTCTAGTGGAGCTTACATTTATAGTAGATAGAAATAGAATAAACAAGGTAACAATTAATAAGCAGCAAATGCCATGAAGAAATGGAACATGTTAAGATATGAGAGGAAGCCAACGAGCAGCATGAGCAAGGTGGGAGATTATGGGACTCAGTGAAGACTTCTGTGCAAAGAGCAGAGTGTAGACATGGAGCCCATGCATGCTAAGATTTGGAGGAAGAAATCCTCAAGCTGAGTTAACACCTTTTTTTTTAAGGATTGTATTTATTTTTTATTGGAAAGTCAGATATACAGAGAAGAGGACAGACAGGAAGATCTTCCATCCATTGATTCATTTCCTAAGTGGCCACAATGACTGGAGCTGAGCCGATCTGAAGCCAGGAGCCAGGAGACTCTTCCAGGTAATCCCATGTGGGTGCAGGGTCCCAAGGTTTTGAGCCATCCTTGACTGCATTCTCAGGCCACTAGCAGGGAGCTGGATGGGAAGCGGGATCACTAGGATTAAAACCGGTGCCCACATGGGATCCCGGTACGTGCAAGGTGAGGACTTTAGCCGCTAGGTACCACGATGGGCCCAAGTTAACACCTTTTACAACAGAAATGAGCTTGTCTGTCAGAAAAATTTACAAGAAGGCCAATGTCAATTGAGTGTCTGGAATGTCATTTGAAGGTGGGAAAGGATGAAATTAAACAAGAGAAAGGTGTGGGGCAGGTTATATGGGGCTTCATTTTTATTCTCATATAATGGGAAACTGTAGAATTTCAAAGAAGAAAATGAAACTTCTTGCTTATTGTAAATCACACTGAATACTTTGATGAGAAAGGCAGGCTCATTGCAAAATGGCATGGTCGGGTATAAGGAAGGACTGCAATGACCCACAGAAGAGCACCCGCATGCCCTAAAACCTGAGATCTACTGTAGAGACGGAGCAGGGGACCACTTGGCAAAAAACAGCTCCGACACCCTAGCCTCTGGAGCAAAAAGAGTTTTTATTCCTTCTTGAATCTTAAAATTCTAAAATGCAACAAGCAAACCACAAAACTGATGATTGAAAAGTTAATACAGATTTTAAAAGGCTCTTTCCAGACTTGAAAAATCAGGGATCCATTTTTCAAATGAATTTGATAGGGACATTGGCACAGCTTGGTTTGAAAGACCACCATCACTATTAATCTTTTCTGACAATTGCCACCTATTTTGCAAAAATCATGTAAGTATATTATCTTCAAATTGAGTGACAAGTTCCTGAAAGCATGGTTTTCAATTGCTTGCTCATTTCACATATGCAGGAAGTCCTCCGTAATGTAAAATAAAGTGTTAAAAGCATCCTTTCTGATTTGCTACTATAGTCATGAGCCACCGAGGCATTGGACAAAAACAAAGCACACTTTTTTAAGATTCCCCAAAATCTGGAATAGAATCTATTTTTAAATCTGAATTGTTTAAGCATGCATCATTGTGAACTTTTGAGATCTGGGAAAAAGAAAGAACTGTTTAAACACTGCTTGAGAACTAGTTACTAGTCAAAACTTTTGTGAGGACAAGATAGGAAGGGATCAAACTAAAGTCCCAAAGATACAAGGGCCACTTGTATTTCTTGTTGCTTACCTATGATCTGGTCAGTTTTAGGTGTTTGCTGTTAAGCTTGCTAATAATTGTGAAAAGAGCTGTATGGTAGACGAGGGTCATTCACACACATACACACACAGGTGCTTTCTACGGTAAAATTCTGATCTTGTGCTTCTTTATTTTGCTTTTCTTCATCCGGCATATCGGAGTAATGCTACCAAGTTACCTCATATTAATATCCTGGAAAATTAATCTCCTTGAATTAAACTCCCATCTCAATAAGAAATCAGTGGCACAGCAATTACAATACATACGGTAACCAGCAAGTCACTTGCTCTTTTGCATACCTAGCTTTTAATTCTGTTCAGTAGAAGCATCAGACACATGGAGGAATGAGATGTGAGAGTGCCAGTCTCCAAAAGTGACTTTCAGCTATGGTCAGTGTTTGTGAAGGATGTTTTTTAAAAATCTACTTTATCAATTTCAGAGATGGGAATGGAGTCTTGTATATTACGTAGCCTCATCTAGCAATGACACAAAATAGCACCACAAGGTTTTCTGACAGTGATGTCATGATCCGCATAATAATCACTGTGAATTAATTTTTGCTGGAAAAGGGATGAATTAATTTCACTTACATACACTGATATCTAGCCTCAGCTTCTACAGTACATAGTCTCTTATTCTACAGCAACTGCTTGAGGTCAACCTAGTATCAGATGCACTATTAAGCATACCAAAGGTTTATCACAAAAACATTTCCATTTCAATGATCAAAATAAACATGAAAATGAAAAAACTTCTAATTAAGGGAAAGCTAGAAGAGCCTAAGCAAGTTCTTGAATGCATTTATTAGATTTCTTGGTCCTCTGGCCAATCACATTAACAAGGACAAAAGATATGCAAATGTATTCCAACAACAGTCAGGTCAACTGCTCTGACTCATCCGAACTTTTGCATATACTGAGCTCCGCACACACTGGCAAGGTTTGATATAAACAAAGAACATTTTTAAAGTTATGCTTGGCTATGATTTGAAAACTATGCCATAATCATTGACCAACAACAATGCAAGCAGAAATCAAATTTATTTCAGAGAAAGAAATTAACATATGAAACATGCATGATTTAAACTCTACAGCATTGTGTGTTTATCCTGTCACCACTGAATAATTGCACAGCAACAAAAATGTGCATTACCATGTTTGAATCACCATTTTGATTGTACGTCTTAAGAAAAACAAAGCGTCACATTTTTGGTAGAAGAGCTCATTCACAACAATTTGGGATTAAATTTCTCTCCCCATTCCCCTTAAGGAATTCAGACTCATTTATAATGATATATTCACATTAAAAATTAGATGGACGCTGTACTGAGAATAATGACAAGCTGGTTAAAAAAACTCAATTATTTACTATGCAAATAAGATTTGCCAAAGGGAAAAAATATATATATATGCTGCCACCATTGATACCCAGAATTTAAGTTGCAATCATCAAAAGGCTGAAGAATTGTTTGTTTTCCATTTCTTATTCTCCTACCTACTGATTTTTCACCTGTGGTCTGTCATAGACTGGTTAGAAATCTTCCAGGTTTGGAAACTCTAAACCACCAATTCCAGTTGACATGCCAAATAAAATAACAGTAATCTTAGTTCAGTCCCTAGTGGACAGAAGTAGAATAGCGATTACTTGGCATGATTCAGCAGGCAGTGCTGAGTGTGACCACACAGGGACAAAACAGCAACCGTCCTTGCCCTATCTTTTATCTTCTTAAGGGGTTTGCTCTGTTAACAGACGAACCTCAAGCAGCCTGGCTGCGTTCCTATCTGTTTGCACCAAGTGAATTTACTAGCAAAAGGTCCGTGGGAGAACTCTTTTGCACAATAACAGTCAGTTGAATTAATTTATTCGCTGCCATTTACCTGTAACCCACTTAATTAGAAGGCAAGCAAAAAATGAATGGCAGATCGTGTGTCCACCATAGGCGTAATTTCAACAACATTTGCAAATGCCTTTTGACAGACAATCAAATAAGCAACTCAATTTAATTTTGACAGATTGAGATTAAATGTATATGCAACAGTAATATTCATCTGGATACTCAGATTCTCATGCCAGTGTCACTAGAGGCCCTGAGAGAGAGAGAGGTACACAGGAACACAGCATAAAACACATATGCTGTCTTCATCCCTAATCTGCAGGTGCGTGTCTTGGTGAAGAGCCACTGCCAACACCGTGAGTGAATAAACACCACCTCTCTGATAAGTTCGCACTAAAATTCACCTTCTTGATTTTTTTTTTCCTCAAGGACAGAACAAGTATATAATGGAAATCAGTCCTGGATTATCTCACCCCTTGCCTGAAATTAGCAGGTTTTTCTTTCATTTACATTAACAACTTCATCAACTAAATGTTTCACTTTTTATTCACTCTCATTACATGCTCATTTTATTGTTGGTTGAAACAAATAAGTATTTTACGTTAACCTGCCATTCTCATTGCACAGAGTTCCTGATATATAAGCGATTTATTTCTAAATTAATATCCTTGGTATTGTCTATCCATCTCCCTACCACCACTCCCCGGGGTTGAGAACTTTATGATTTCTTTATCAAAGTTGTGTTTTGACAGGGAGAAGACGCAAAGTAAACTTCAATGAGGCGGGGAGGTGGGGGGGGGTGGTACGAAAGGAAAGCCAAGAAAATGTGTCCCTGCTGCACAGGGTTGAGAGGAGCCGCGGAGCATTTCCAGGGGCTTTCAAACGCCTGAAAAACTCGGATTACCATGGAAATCAAACCCAGCAAGGCTCTTTGCATGTGCAAACACTGCCCCCCTGGAGCAAAAGGTAAACACGCAAATGCACCCCTCAGGAGTTCTCCGTCCTGCAGCCGCGCAGGAACAGAGGAGCCCCCCGTGCAATTAGAAACCGAAAGTAGTCACTTACTTTTTGCAGCCACTGAGTATAATTTTCCATCACATGCTCCAGATGTTGAAGTTTCTGGGAAGAGAAATCCGGTTCCACGTGTGGAGCATCTCTCTGCAGGGCGTTAGTGTTGTACTGGTCTGTGGTACTCTCCCGACAGTTCCCGTCCTGCTCTGGAAGAATGAAAGTGTAGGCACACTGCCCATGTTGAATCCGGTTATATCTTCTGCCACCGTTTTCTGGACTCCGGCGCTGGTTGCTGCACCCTACGTGAGTCACAATGGCAGCGAGGCAGGCAAAGGAGAGGAAAATTGTCATTGTGCTGCCAGCGTTCTCCGTCCGTGCCTCTCCACAAAAAAACCCGCTCCTTTCTTCTGACCTTTACGCTAGTTCTTTATTTCAGGTAAAACTGCTTGGTTCCTTGACTTTTTCCCCCTCAAAGAAAGCGTTTGTAGCAGAATCTTAGAAAACAAGCCATTTTTTAGATTTGTTCTAAACTTTACTGTTATTAGTTTTTTTTTTTTATTTCACTATAATGATAGTTTCCTTCGGTAAAACTTGAGATATTTATTGCATGGTAGCCGAGATTTATTGTTTCCTCTCTGTGTAACCGGTCAGCGTGGAGCCTGCCTGAGTCAGCTGCGCGTACATATTCTAGACTCTTGCCTCGACCGTATCTGCTGCAGATCTGCTATTTTCTCCCAGACCTCAGTGAGTTTTATTAAGGTTGCACATCCAAGCCAAGCGGGAAGCAGGCAGCCTTTCACAAGATGACTTGACAGGAATGCATGAGTGTGCCCCTACGCTAAGGATTGCTGATGGCTTTGGGCGGCGGGATCGTCTTACAAATTGGCTAGATGCGCATGACCTCGACCATGTATGGGCCTCCCGCCCCTTCCGCAGACAATTGCCTTGAGCCTGGAGCAGATACTCGGAAAAATCAATAAACAGAGCGGTCCACCTTAACACGCTTTCGGTGTGCCTGCTGACCTACTAAAACCCAAGCAGCTAGCAGGGCGTTTTGAAAGTTACTATGTAATTAATGAATCCTCGAAGAAAATGGGTTTAATGCTGAAACGAGACTGTATTTGATAGTGAGGGATACGTTTGTGTGGTTTTAAAATGTATTTACAAAACATTTATTCTTGACTCTGGAAAAACACATTAAAACCCATTTAAAGTCTTAGCAATTGTTTTCATTGTACTTTCTTAGACTTTTTGGAGTTAGGGAAGATAACCAGAGGCAATAAAATCAACAAAAAATTATCATAATTTGCTTCTGTAACCAATATAACACATATATATTAAATATAATTAAGTATTCGGGGGGGTATGACTTCTTATGGAAACGATTTCCCTGATTATAATGCAGACCTTCAAACTCTGTGTACATAAATTGAGCAACTTCCCTATAAAACTAACCTGATTACAATGCAAGACAATGGCCCTAGGATTATTAATCCCTGTGGCACGTGCTAATCATATAGTTCATAAGGACCTCTTTGTGTTGCTGTAGCTATCTCAATACTTGCATGAAGCTCCCTATAAATTCTGCCACAGCTGCCTGCACACACGATTTAAAAAGAAAAATAGATCAGGTGCAGCGAGGGCCAGCAAAGGGCTACCCAAGGAGAAAACTTTGCAGTCATAGAATACACAAAGAAAAATCACCAGGAGGTGCTTTCCACAGGCGGGATATAAATATTTGAACAAACAGACTAATAAAATATAAAGAACAGGCAACAATTACAGAAGTGAGGGCACAGCGCTGAGACCTGGACTGGATGTGTCCAGAACACAGACAGGACAAGCAGAGTTTCCCTGGGACCTGGGAAGGATTTGGGGCCATAGGAACTCGCACACGCACTCTCATGCCGTCAGAGCAGACAGCACAGGTGCCGAGCTCCGCGTGCCGTGCCGGGCTGCAGGCAGGGCAGTAGGTGAAGGTCAGTCGTGGCTGGCCAGCGGCCGGCAGGGAGGAGTTAGAGGTCAGAACAAGTTTCTGAAAGGGTGTGGCTTACTTGGAGAAACAAAATATGCTTAATCAGCTGTGTCCACATCAAACAAGAACTTTCTGATGCTCGGATTTAAAAGCAAGTTGGGCCAGATGTCGCAGTAGGCTGTCTGAACACATTTTGCACCTTGTTCTTTGACTGTCCTGTGTCCCAATAGGGCGATGCCCCTGCTGTGCAATGATCCTAAAGATACTTCTAAGAACTTGTTATTGGCCAGACTATAGTAGACCCTCCAGGTACACTATCTTGTTTAACCATCTCGACAAACACAAGATATAGGCGTATATGCAAACCCATTTTATCAATAGGAAGGCCGACTCCCAGAAAAAAAACATTGGTGAAGTCCCCATAGTCAAAGTGCCAGTAGATGAAGTCAGGCTCACTGACTCACAGCCAACCTGCCTTTGAAAACCTCTGTGCAAGCAAAGTCATTCCAGAGGGAGGAGATCTACAGCCCTCAGGCAGGACAAGCAAGGGCACCTAAAAGCAAAGTGTCTGTGAAGGCCAGTTTATACCTCACAAGTGACTTTATTCTTTCCCACACCAAAACAAAAGAAAAATGTCACACCTGCCCCCTGCCCACTCACGGGGACGAAGGGGATTGGAGGACAGGTTACCGGAGAACACCTTCCAACATGGATTGCCCTAAAATTAGCCCTGGAGAGAAGAAAAGTCCAAAAGCAACACCTACAAGTGCTTAATAAGAACTAAATACAGCAGAAACTTGGCAGAAAGCAAATGGGTAAAGAGTGAAGCGCCCATGAATACGCTCCCGTGTTTCTCAGCAGTTCAAGATCAGTTCCTCTTATGTAGCGCTGTGTGTGTGCGTGCGTGTGCGTGTGTGTGTGTGTGTGTGTGTGTGTGTGTGTGCGTGCACGCACTCTGGATGAGGTGAATCTTTCCAATCTGAACACACAAAAGGTAAGAATGCATAATGTCCTGGGAAACCAGTGCAAGTGGAAAAAAAAAAAAAAACAGGAGGGGAGTCAGAGGAACAAAAAGAAAGGCCATAACACTAGAAATGTTAGTATCCACCTGGGAGAAATGATTAAAGACCAGTTCTGAGCAACTGGAAAAACCCAATGGTGCACAAAAAAGACTTCAGTGCATCGGGAAGTCCCAGCGGAGGAGGCAGTGGGTGCACTGGAGGACCCTGAAATTAAAGCTAATAAGCCTTCAGGGCCCTGGACTTGAGCAAGAGCAACACTGTTGGAGCTGGCTACTCACTCTTCAGGAGAGGGGCCATGATTCAGAAGAGATTAGAATCTAGGGAGTAACAGAAACAGTAGGCCAAGGTTACTAAAGATTCTTCTATCACTTATTTTTTTTTTTTTAAAAAGGGACAAAAGGTTTCTATGGGACTAAATAATTCTAATTCAATTGAATTCTAATGTAGCTTGAATCAGAAAACTTCACATTCTATTTGTATTCTTAAATTTCTAGGATAAGTAGACACAAGCAGTAAGGCTCTGGTCTCTTATCTACAAACAGTCCTAGCAAATGTCCTGCTTGCCTAGAAACTTCCAGTGGAGACAGGAACACTCTGTGCAGGAACTTCATGCTCCTAAATCTTTCTTAAAAACTCCTGTTTGTTACTTCTTCCATAATACTTCCTTAATTTCAGTAAAACCCGGTAAGTGGCTCCTTCTGTTGAATCTTAGTAATTTTTCACTCCTATCTTCAAAATCACACTGAGAAATTTCTAAGAAATTAGAAATGGCTTTCTAATTCTTGTGTCTCTCCCTCTAGCTGTGGGCCTCTAAAGTGATCTCTCTCTCTCTCTCTCTCTTTTTTCTTGGCTGATATCCCAGCATTCAATACACACTTTAAAAAAAATGAAAAAATAATTACTTATCTAATGCAGCTTACCTGACTTACCACATCCATTGCATTTGTGGAATGAATTACAGCATGGGTGTTGTGGCCCTTTGAGTTAAACTGACACCCGCATCCCTTGCTGGAGTGTCTGACTGAGTCCTGCCTCCGCTTCTGATCTGTCTTCCTCCTAATGAGCCAGAGAAACAGCAGGTCATGCCTCAAACATTTCAGTTCCTGCAATGATGTGGGAGAGTCAAATGGAGCTCCCCCTTCCTGGCTGCACTGTATCCAGCCCAACTTTTAGTGGGCATCTGGTGCAGAAAACAGCAAAAGCAAGAGAGAAATGTCTCTCCCTGTTTCTGTCTCTTTATGTTCCTCTGACTTTCAAGTAAATAAAATGAATATGCAAACATCAATACATAACCTCAAAGTCATGCTAAAGGATGAGTTGGACACGCAAATATAATAAATAAGATGAAAAACTGTAAAACTCTTCTTATTGAAGTATAATGGAATCCTCAGCAACTATTCATTATCTTTCCCATCTTACAGACAAGAAAATTGGGGCCATAAGATTAGTTGTTGAAGAGCTAAGACAATATTTTATGCGGCAAAGAATAAATCTTTAATCATTTAACTCTGAGGCCTACATTAACGTCTCACTGGCCAATACTGCTTACAAAAATACTTGTGCCCCAGCACAAAACACAAAAAAATGCTTCTAAGACTTTCAGGGAGTGGACAGCATGGCATCTGTCATTGAGGATAATTCCTATGTGTCTTCACCCATGGCATTCAGTGATTTGCTAAGATCTTCTCACACTGGGCTTATATCAGAACTCACCAGTATGGTTGTCCTTATCTGCTTACCAATGACCAATCTGATTAAGTCATATTTCATGTCCATTTCGGGTGAAAAGTCCTAAGCCTTACTTGTCACTCTTGCTGTAAGGCAAAATTTTATTTATAAAACCAAAAGTTACTTATTTCTCACTATCAGGCAATGAGATACAAGGAAACATACCTCTTGTATTTATGTGATATCCTATAAGTAGATAAAAAAGGTGGGGAACAAAGCAATCACCTCATGTCCTGAACATGATGTGGCTCCTCATACTTTGAGCCCTAGCTCTGCTCTGGCACTTGTAGGCATCAAGACTATCCTAAGGGCTATGGAAGTGGCAGTTCTTTCTAAAAGGAAAGCACTTGGCCTTGGGCCCTGGAAGCAGAGCCAAGACCCTTTTGCTCCACTATGTATGCAGCAAAAGTTATCAACAACAGGTGGAAATACCACCAAGGGCTAAAACAGGAGAAAGATGGAGGGTGTCACCTGGTGATTGACAGTAGCTCCTAAGTCTGTGTGAAATGTCCTTGCTTAATCTCAAGGGAATTGGAAGGGCTTGCACAGAGCTGGAAATACTGCAGTGCATGGGGTGAGAGTCGGAAACATACAGGTAAAAAGGGAAACAAAAATTACTATGTAAATATTTCTCTGCCTTCTGATAAAAGAAGTTATCGATAGGCAGTGCATATCTGGCTTGCTAATTGGTGTTAACTTTAGCTAGGTAAAGTTATAAACAGCTGAAGCAGTATTAATTTGTACTGCCTGAGAAAGGAGATGGGGGATTAAGACATGCAGCCAAGAGCTGAATGGGAAAAAAAAAAAGGGAGCTAATGCAATTTAGAAGTTTTGTGAGAAAAGAATCAAAAGACAGAGGATACTCATGGCTGTGTGGCCCTGGGGTCTTGGGAAGATAAACTGAACAGGGAGGCTGGGAGTGAAATGGTGTTTCCTGTGAGATAACACACCTCCTAGGGTGAATGAGAAGAACCGTTGGTCCTTGCTCCTTACATGGAAACAGCTACCATGTGAATTTCATAGATAATTAATATATGTGCAACTGAACTCATCTGTGTCATGTTGTTTGTTCTCGGTAGTTGAGTCGGCCTGTGTTATTGATGGCTGGATCCCATTCCCCCGCCCCATGGGAGGTCCCTTGTCATTCTGCTGAT